ACCAACGTCTGTAGCTGTTACACCTCAAACTAACGTAACACCAGTATCTGTTCCTCCACAGAGTAGTGTAACACCTGTTACACCTCAACCAAGTATTACTCCAGTGACTCCACAGCCCACTACCCCTGTCAACCCACAACCACCATCTAGTGGTACACAAGTGGTGACTCCTCAACCCTCTACATCTGGTACACAGCTTGGTAAACGTCAACGAGAGGATACTGATAGGTAGGGTTGATTTAGTGTAATAAAGACCTTGAAAATATTTTCTGTCCCAAAACATAATAAATCCAAAATGTTTTCTTGTGATTTCTGCAATTTGTCAATGTTCCAATAACTTTATATCCTTCTTTTTATCAGCCAAGAAGAGTCAGATGCTTATACTAAAAGGACAAGAACACAATCACAGGTGAGCTTGATTAAACTATGTTTGATTGTGTCTGCCAATGGGTCTCATAAAGGCATGTCTGCTGTTTTGATTTGATGTCTGTAGCAGAAGAAAAGAACCCAATAACCATTTTACAAGGATAACAACGTAGGCTTATGAAGATCCTTACTACCACTTGGTCATTGGATAATCCTGGCATTGATCTTTTAGGTCAAATAGTATCAAGTATCCAAATGAAACTGCAATAAAGCATGCCTAAATTGCTGATGACACATGACTTTTATTACAGGAACAAGGTATACCAGCTATAACAGTAACTGATGAACATGCTCAGACTATAACACATCTGAGCCCACAATCACAATCTTTACTACAAGAACAGTCTCAGGTAAAATATATTTCTTATCTTGATTTACTTTAAGGGGTCAAAAGCCTGTTCAAGATCAATTTCTTTTGTGAATGAATTACTGTGTGCAATAGATTATTGTCTATAATTATCTGATAATGTCTGCATATTTTGTTAACAATAGACTGATCGTAAAAGACAGGCTGTGGCACCACGAAACCAGCAGTACCAAACACAAGGAGCTACACCAATTGGTATAGATGATGATGATGATGGTGGTGAAATTATAGTTCTGGGTAGTGATGATGAGGAACAGGTAAATTTAATTCATTATTATTGTGGAATATGTTGATATAATTCAGCACTTTCTTGTCCAAGAGACATGCTCTTGATCTTTGGGCTCAGCCCTTCAGTAATGGTGTTCACATCCAAGCCTTCTTATCCAAGTCTATCCATAATTATCCACGTTTGAAATTTACATTTACAATATGCTGCATTCGTTCTGAATTAACCTTATTGCACACTTCATTACATTCAATATAATATCAATATATGAAAAGACTATTTAATGGAGGAGAAATCTAAATAGATTGATGAACTGAAAGATATGTTATATATTTGTAGGTTTATGAAATGGAGGAGTATAGAGAAAATGATGACAAGAATATGAAGGCATATACTGTAAGTTTCCCTTAATTTATCTCGATATATCAGATCATTATTTAGAATGTTTCGACTATTCTGACTATATCTGAATTATGAAATACTGCCTTCTTTATGATTGATATACTTTCTCATATGAAAAGTTCATTAGCTGCTACCACTGTATTGCCTGTATATTTCAGGCTTTGTTTTGCAGTTCAGACTGTTAGTTCTTGTTTTTTTTTATTTGGGATTTTTGATCAGTTGTGTTCTTTATCTTTTAGGAGATGGATGATGAAGAGGAATATGAAGAAGATGATGATGATGAGGATGATGATGAAGATGACTATGAAGATGAAGAAAGTGATGAAATAGGAGAAAGTAATCAAGAAGACTCTAATGATGTAGTGATTATAGGTAACATTGTAAAATATATTGTCATTATTGTCAATTTCTCCAGTGGCCAATATTCCATTACCTCTTATTAACCATAAATTATTATTTCCCAAATAAAAGTTTATAGGATTATGATAATAATAATAAAATCTTTCTTTTACACTGGTCAAAATGAGGTGCAATACACAAGGGCATGGTCCTGTCTAACATTCAGCTCATGAGATTACACAATACATTTTGAGAAAATCATATCCCTATTTAAAAAATCATTATTTTGTTTATTAGATGACAATGAACAGAGTCAACAGAGAAGAGAATCAGATGAAGTAGAACAAGCAACATCATCTGCACAACAAGCTATACCAATACAACCAGTAGTAGATGCTACATCTCGACCTACATCAACTGATCTACAAACTAGATCACAACCATTAACACCATTTATGTTAGGGGTAAAATATCACTAATTTTGTTATTCCCAGTTGAATATTTAAATGGATTCAGGCCAGATGCAGTTGATTAATTTGATATTAACATTTTATGGCATTCTAGAGACAAGACATTGGATTTGTCTGTTATCAATAAAACCTGCAAGTGCATCGTAAGATTTACGGGACTGTAATATGTTGTAACATCACTTCATATGTTGTTACCATGATAAGCGGACAATTTTACTTTTTCCTCACATTAAGACTTAAAGTAATATTTATTATTATATATTAGAATCAACCTGGTTTATTTGAAGAAGAAGATGGTTTAGTACCTAGTACACCAACATTATTTATACCTGTCAGAAGATCAGATGGTTTTGCTGAGGCAATAAGGTATGTTTATTTTTATTTGAGGCTTATTGAATTTTTACTGGCAACAAGTGGATAGCGTTCATCTGCCTTAATTTATACTATATATAGTAAGAAATAAACCTTTATCTATTTCAGTTCTCCTGCAGCACCTCAAAGATTTGTTTTTGGTGGTGACAATTCATCGAATCAACCAGAATTAGCTCAGTTAGAATCACAGAGAGGTAAAAAATTTTTTATTTCATTGCTAAATCCATATAGTCTAAAATAATTTGGTGGTTTCTGTGGTTTATATTTTATTTGATGTATTGTATTTGATAGTATGATCGTATAACGTAAGTTGATATTTATTATAGCTCTTGGAATGGATGATACTCGTATGGATTTATCACAACTGGATGATGGTAGAGTTCCTGTTACACCATCACAAGTTGTACCTAGATCAGGTTTGTACATATATAACATCAATTAGTGTTCTTAACGTCAAAGAATAAATCATCCAGATTGTAAGAATAATACTAAAGGAGAATCTTAGATGAATTTGTTACATCTGGTCCTATATCACCTGTATTTTCTTATTATAGCTGTAAGTACAGATAATACATCTCTATCATCTGCAGTATCAGCTACCCCAGTAACAGCAGCAGTATCAGCAGCAACATCATCAGATACAACAATGACAACATCCACTGGTGTTACTGCAGAACCTGGTCAACCAACAATGTAAGTAAATATTTGAAACAAAAATCGATATAAGTTGATATATTGTATGAAGTGAGTTTCAATGTAACGGAAATGATTTGTAATTGATAAACAGCTACATTCTCTACATGGAGTTGTCTTCATTGGTTTGGTGGAATAGTTTTCTGAGTATTTGTAAGCTATGATGTGAAATGAGTTAAAATTGAAGATGTTAGAAATTGTAAATGTTGAAGTATATTGTAGAGAATTTGAAGATGATGATGAAGCACTGTTGGAAGGTTTACAAGGTGATGAAGATATTGGTGAAGACACTACACATGATACTGAAACTGGTATGAATATTAAATTACTTATTGATTTCTTTAAAGAGCCACTGTTCTTCATGAAGCAAGTAAAATTGATTTCTGTTTTGGTATTTCTTTACTAGCATCTTGTCTCTTATTTTGAAATTAGTACGAATTATTACTATATTAATTGCTAAAGAAAACTTTTTTTAATCATACCGTTCATGATATTTTGAGGAGTCAGACCTGAATCTTGATTTCACATTTCAATTTGATCCTTCTGTGTTTAACTCTTAAGTTTTTATGTATTATTAGGTGAAGGAGTAACTGAATCGATGTCATCAACAGATCAACCAGAAGAAGTACCTAGTACTAGTAGTGGTATGACACAACAAGATGATGATAAAGCTACTGGAGATTCAGGTATGTATGTGTGTCCTGAAAAAATGGATTTTCTGTTATACTGTTCCTTTATACTCAAAATACTCTATACTTGAAAGATATCTCTAAAATGGTCATTGCTAAACACAAATCTTTTTCTTCTTTCAGGCGCTTCAAACAGACCAAAAATTCAAAGAATAGTTTGGGGTGAGCAGGAGACAACTCCAGGTACACAAACCCCTCCAACAGCTAACCAGGGTAGGGGAGGACGTGGAACGAGAAGAGGTCGTGGCAGTGCTTGGAGAGGACCTCCACGTGGAGGAGCAAAAGGTGGATTTAGACCGTTTTAAAACTCATGCTATTTGAGTCAATTCACTTCATGTATAAATATAAACAATACAAACTATAAAAATAATGTGCAAGATAAGAAAAGTGTTCAGCATTTGTTGTATATTTGATAAGTAATGGTGTCTTTAATTCAGTTGAGTATCTGTATCATGTAGATTGAAAGTGCTAATGTCTTTTGTTCGGTGAATAAAGGTATCTTTTTATACTACACCATGTATTTTTCTAAATGAAACATAATTCTCCTGTATTGTATCCGTCTGTTAGTCCGTCCCATCATTAATTGTTGTCATTACTAGAATTGTTTTGTTTGTAAAGATTCATATTTAAATAAACAAGGGGTTGTCTAGAGGTAACTCAGTTACTGTCTCTGAATTTCCAGTTTTGTTTTGGTTATCACCCTTTATGAAACTGTTCTTTCATTTCATAAGACTTTAACATTGATATCATTAGACTAAAACATGACTGCATGTATCTAGTTCTAGAAAACCAGAGAGATATATGCTTTAATTTGAATCAGCAACATCACAAAATAGTCTGAATATTCAAGATGGTGGTGTCCATGAAGAGAGTCTAAATGTTTTAAGCTGGAACTTTTCTGTCAATTCACACAAACATTGGAGTTTTGAAAATTTTTTAAGCCAAGCATGTTAGTGTTCACAGCTCATTCATTAGATTTAATCTTGTTAGGTGGATAGAAAAAAAAATTCAATATATATGCATGTATAAGATTTATTTCTCTAAGCCCAAAGCATTATGTACAATATAGTAAGCATAGTTTAAAAATCTATAAATATATTGTATATATACATATCACACATTGCCAATCAGTTGAAAATATATTACATGATCTCTACTTATCACAACAAATAATTTAAATGAGTTTTTCAGTTCAACTGAAATGGTTCAGATACTTATAAACTTTATTCAGGTTTGATTTCAGCAGTTCAGTCTCATAATTTACAGAAATGCTGCAAATTTAATGCTTTATAATTAAAGTTTTTCTACAATCAACTTATTGCAGAAGTGATGAATGTTAAAATGAAGATAAAACTTGCATAATTTAAGAGATTTATGCTAAAACTTTTGTTTTTTCTCTTTCAATGCCAGTAAGTGTTAAATTTCTTTCAACACTGGTTTGTGGTCTGGCATTCAGTTTTTCTCGTACACTCATATTACGTTTGTCCAACATAAGAGAATTGTTCTTCAGGGCCAAATCATCATTGATTCTGTGCAAGTTCTTCTCTAAACCATCTAAAGCATGTCTGAAAAAATAAGGAGAAATTCACATTAGCTTTGAGCATAAAATGAACAGTGGAAATGTTCAATATTGTTTGGAGAAATTAAAGAATTTTAAACATATATTTTAGATTTCTAATGCAAATTGTTTGTTTGTTATATGGAAATAAAAACCAGAAGTAATGAAGATCAAAAGTTCAATTAGTTTGTACTTACTGTGCTTGTTTCAGTTTCTCTTCTAAAGCTTTCTTTGTAGCTTCAAGTTGCTTGACTTCATCAGTTAAACCATATTGAGGAGCATCTCGGCATAATTCTACATTAGGTCTGTATGTACGGTTCTCTAATCTGGTTTGAGCTAATTTCATTGGATTAGTTTTAGCTCTAATAGCTTCAGCTAATTTTCTGATGTCATTTTCTAGCTCTGCTATTTCATCTTCAGTCTGGAAAATCGATAAAAACCAAAAGATCAGTGACATGGAAAGGATGATCCAAGTTAGATCAATAGTCAGGTAGAAGCCAAGTTAAAAGAAGCTGATGCGCCATCAGAAGTACCACAAACATATCACCAGTGAGATTCTTTCACTTTCTCTCCACAAGAACATAACCACCTTGCTCAGAAGCTAAGAAAGATGAAGTTCACTACATTCTAATTTTCATGATTTTCAAAGAGATGCATTTGTAAAGTGAATTTAAAGTACATTTCCATATCAAACAATACCTTTACATGATAATTTACTTACATTTTTCTTCTGCCATTCCAATTCATCTTTTGCTCTTTCAAATTCATGAATTCTCTTCCTGAGAGCAAATTCTGTGGCAATTTTCTGAGCCTCTAAATCATTATCAGTTTTTTGAAGAGTGTGGTGAATTGCCTCTCTTAGTCTACCTGATGCTTGCATCTCAGCATCGGCCCTTTCTTTGTTATATCGACTAAAATCTTCCCATTGTTGAGGTGTTGTGCTTCTGTAAATATAATTGACATGTCAAATTAAAAGCTAATCTCACTTGAACGTCTACGGTGATACATTGAACATTTTTTTCACAAAGACTAAATGAATACATCTTATTTAAACAGTTGTAGTAGTACATCTTGTAGACTTGATTGCAGCAACATAATCAATATTGTGTTTCCATGTCACTTTGTTGAATTGGACCTAATCTTGCACCATATAAAATAAAAAGTTTATTATTAAACCTACCCTTTAGGAACTCTTAAGCTATCTGGTTTATAACTAATATTAGGTGATCTATCAGTTAAATTATATTGATCTATATCAATACCAAGAGCTATGTTTTTATCTTGTAAATCAGCTTGAATTTGTTGTCTTGCTTCTTGTAATAGACAAATCTGTTCAAATGAATCTGAAACTCTTTGTTGTAAATTCTTCCTAATTCCTTCTATCACTTCAACTTCCTACAAAAAAGCAACATAAAACATTGTAGGTAGAGGCAATGTCCAGAAAAAAACTTATTTCTAAAACAGGCTGTCCTGAAAAGGGTTCCTTAAAAGTTGCAATAAACAGATATGATTCTTATTACATTTGAATGAACTGCAAAATTAAATATTCATTGAAATATTAATAAAAGACGTACCTTGTGTAGTTGATTTTCTGCTTCATCTTGAACAATATCAATACCTTGTCTCCCCTCACGTAATGTTAAACATTCTACTGCTACATCTAAAGGAAGATTCTTGGCTTCAAGAGCCTGTTCAGTAAGTTCCTTAGAATCAGATAAATCTGCTATTTCCTGATCTAAATCAGCAAGGGTTTTCTCTAAGATTTCTTTCCATTTCCTAATATGATCAACCCGATCAGCAAGCCTAACATTGTTGGAGTGTTGGTCCCATTTTGTTTGATTATCAGTTTCATTGGTTAAAAAACGACCTTCTTGTCTAACTTGATGTGAAGCATCTCTCTGTCTTTCAGCATTGGTTGAAATGGTGTAGTTATTGGTGAACCAATCTGGTGGTTGGAATCTTGTTGTTGGACGAACTTGAGTAGCCATTTCTGAGAAAATCAATCCTGATTATAAACAGTGATAATATTAATAAATAAAGCTCACAATAAAATGATAGCAATGTCAATATGTTTGTACAATATTGATTGATTGAATAAATAATTAATCTAACTAACTAGATCTAACCACATAATAATCATTGATACCCCAGCCTCAATTGAGCTTGATTCATTAAACCAATCAGCTCAACAAGGCCTTTTGCAATCAATAATAATCAATACTTGAACACCAGCTATCTGAACAGTTGGTTCCAGCATCAAGGTTAGACCCACCCTATTACTGTACAAAACAAACCATAGCAAGTGAAGTAGACACAAATGAACACAGAGAATCAAAATAAGAATAAACCTTTAGCCTTTTACTACTTAATGTCTCTCTATAGCCTAGACCATTACCATGTAGATGTATGTTGTCAATGACACTCAAACGTCAATATAGTTTTAAGTAAGCCTAATAAGTAAAGTATCAAACAAGACAATGAAAAACTGAAGTCCCAAACTCAGCTACTTTTGTATCAAAAAAGGACCTCTTATATTTTTTGGCTTACCTGATTATTTTTGACAAATCACTACACTACTGTAAATAAATTGATTGAAATAATAGGAACAGTGTACAGTAATAATGGTCACTGTCTATTCGTTGCTACCTAACATTCTCAACCTGTGATTTTTATAACCACTCTTTTCATTTGTTTTCTGTATCGTTGAAGCCAATCAAAACAACCGTTAGTTGGATTAAGGCGTCACTAACCACGCGTTGTTAGGGAAACATTTGACCTTGACCTTCCTTTTAATTCTGACTTGTTGTGCGTAAAACTAAGATCAGGATTAAGCATTATATTTTTTCAAAATGCAAACAAATTCGCTAAGAAATAATTTTGATATAGGTATTCCTAGAAGCAAAGGGATGTTGGTTGTCAAGTGATCGATATAATATATTGATTTTATAATAATGTTAATTGAATAATTATATTGTAGATCTGTACAAGTCCGACTTTTACACTTCACTATTCACCAAGATTTTTTTCTCTTTAACCTCACTGAAGTAAATCATAATAAGACTTGTCGGAAATCTATGTTCCACTAAAACCACTTATTATATTCATAGTTATCGATGAAGAATAATCTAAAGTAAATATACCTCCAACAATACTTTCTCTTTTTGTTACAAATAAAAGAAGTGTAAATATTCCAAAAATTTAGTAGACCTATGGTTGAACAGTGTGAGAAAGAAGGGATGAAAACTTAAAATGTTGTTTAGTGTGATAATTGTTGTCTTCACAAGTTTGCTCAACTCATCCATTGTATCATCTGAAGACACAGATATAGATAATGTAAGTTAAGTCTAAGCCCTAAACGGATCCCTAACACAACGACACTGAATCTACTGCCAGAGTCTTTATGAGAGGTCCAGCTAGTGTTCAGTTTTATCCCTGCAATGTATAGCCCATAGGTCGAGATACCACCATCAGATTTTCCAACCCAGTTTTCCCCTGTCAGTGATGCAGGTAAGAGGTGCTGACATGGAAAAAGTCATTCGGATGGGGCAATAAACTGAGGCCCCGTGTGCAACAGGCTGTGAACGTTAAATAAAAATAATCCTATGGCTAATATATGCCACATATAATTCATTCATGAAGTTTCTTGAATGGAGTGTTTTGAGTTATGCCCTTGACTTGGCAAAATATGGTACAATAAGCTTAGGAAGCTTTAGTTAGAGGTTACAGTTTTGATAATATAACTTGATATGATTTTGTATATGAATTATGATATCCTGTATGATATTAACTTGTTTTTTTTTATCGATAAATGATAAATGACTCATAAGATAAACTTAATTTTGTAGTTTAGCCTGTCATGAATTTTTCTGCTATATGGGCGTATAGCCTTTGACAGTTTGGAAAATTAGATATCAATATCAATCATGAAGCCTATGGATATTTTTTCAGATTTGTTACAAAGCGTGTAATAATGAAAGTAAAGGTTTCTTAGAGGAACACTGTACTGGTGTAGATTTAACATTAAACAATAGTCACTGTTGTTTCAATACATCTTCTTCAAGACCTCGTATTATTGGGTAACATTTTGAATTACTCTTTCTTTTACAAGTATATCATGAGTATCAACCACCATCTGCAACAATATCCGGTATTCTGTACACCAAATGATACTTACTGAACAATATGTTAACCTATATATTAAACTCAATACATCCTAAATTGATTTGGAAAAGCAATTCTTGTAAATCTTTGCAGCCAGAGTAATGAGGATTTGTTCAATCGTTTAAGATTTTTTTTAATATTCCTCCAAAATTATGGTTTGTATAAAACAATTTTTGTGTGCTCTAAATCTACAAAATTATGCTTTTTATAATTTCAAATACTTATTTATCTTATTTGTAGAATTGATTTGAGAGGATGTGATATAAGTACTATTAAGGCTTTGGATGAAGTTATAGAATCTTTGATTGTCATGTAAGTTATGTTTTCATATGCACACATACTAAAATTGATCTGTGAAATCAAATCCTAGCATTCTTAGCTCTGTTATATTCCATTGTAAAGATTATATATCTTTATTTCAGATCATTAGAAGATAATCCAATTAAATCAGATTTAAATACAGATTTTAATGGTTTAAGGAATGCTGTATATTTGTAAGATTAGATCCCATTATAATTGACTTGAGTCTGACAAAAGCTGTGATGCTGTTAATATTTCACTTTGTTGTAGGCCTAATCCATAACAAAAATTTGATCAGTATTTTGTATTTTGATACATGAAGGTGGTTTAATGTTGGGATAAGTGACTGGGTGGCATTTAAACATTTTAAAAAGCATTGAGTTCATGTATATTAACATCAACCTGTTTAATTTTTAGATCCTTACCTCCATCTTTAGATTGTCCTGGTGATAATGAAGCTTGGGAATCAATTGAAAAATCTAATACCTCAACAATATGTCATAATCAAATAGATACATGTTTACATTTTAACAGTAAGTATTTCTAAAGAAATGAAAATTAATGTTTTGTTTTCGGGAAAATTCTGTGTACTCTGAGGGTGTATCTTGAAAATGCCTGAGGTGAGTCTCAGATTCAGATCACCTGAGACTTATTATGAGCATATAGAGATCATAATTTTCGCTTTAAAATAAGACCTTCCACAGGCTTATTGGTAGGGGAGACATCGCCCGATAACCCACCCCCAAATATTCCACTGAGGGTACTTGTTTATCATCACATTTATAATACATCTTGGTGCTGCTAATTGTCACATTGTACATTATTAATTACAGTATCTTGTCCAGCTAATTCTGAATGTAAAAACACTGGTCCAGGAACATTTGAATGTGATTGTTTAACAGGTTATCATGGTTATAAATGTTTAAATAAGGTTAGTATGATACATGATATTGCTATATAACATTATTAACGGCTTATTTAACAACCAAAATGTACTAATCAATCAGGTTCATCTTTCAAATAGCCCTTTAACAATCGTAAAATATATATCAATTACAGTTAGATGAATGTTTATTCAACCTAATTTCAATTTTCAAATCTGTTACACCATCATATTGCCTAATTATTTGAAAGGCTAGACAATTTAACTTAACTGCAGTGTAAATGTTTAGGTTTCAATGTTCAATTAAGTAGTCCACTGTGTGACAAACTAACACTGTTATAACTGAAAACAGTGTGGATTAGAAAATAACTATAGAATAGCGGAAAAGAAGTCAGTCTCCATATCCCTTTAGTTTGTGATGTATTGTACAATTTTCAAATCTGTTTTTCAAATCTGTTGTATTGTACAATTTTCAAATCTGTTACACTATCATATTGCCTAATTGCCTAATGTATTGTACAATTTTCAAATCTGTTTTTCAAATCTGTTGTATTGTACAATTTTCAAATCTGTTACACCATCATATTGCCTAATTATTTGAAAGGCTAGACAATTTAACTTAACTGCAGTGTAAATGTTTAGGTTTCAATGTTCAATTAAGTAGTCCACTGTGTGACAAACTAACACTGTTATAACTGAAAACAGTGTGGATTAGAAAATAACTATAGAATAGCGGAAAAGAAGTCCCCCCCCCCCCCCCCCCC